TGTGATACTCAATTTTGGGGAAATATAATTAAAAATAAAATCACCACCTAACTCATCTGATTATGAGAAGTTTCAATTAAACTGGGAACAGAATATTGTCTCAGATACAAATTCATATGGCTTCCAAACAAAAAGGGAGAGATAGTGTGCTTGCTTGCAGGAGGAATACTGATTTTTATAAAGGAAGTGGCAGTGGTAAACTGTAGATCATTTTGAATTATATATTCCTGAATTTTAGCAAATGAGTTATTTTAGAGTTTGATTAATCTTACAGGAATCTGCGAACATTTAATGTTTCTTGGACAACATAGAAAGAAATTTCTGTCTCTTTCTCATAGATTATGCTTTGATGTCCCAAAAGGAGGACTTACGTGTATTAAGAGAGTGTTGTCACTACATAGATCTTATGCACTAGTAATATATGAGAATAGTCCTTATACACTGCCACCTTTTCCCTAATTTGGGATTGGATAATTAGCGAGAGACCCAAATAAGACAATTTTGATCTGCCCATGATCCATGACAGTAAAATTTGAGAAATTCTCAAGAAACTCTTGATTTGACTCTCAAGAAAAAGAAAAAGGAAAAGCAGAGTCACCTGTCTTCTAGGCAAGTTGTTACAGATTCTCCCAGCTCCTTTTCAGCACATGGCTGTGAGCACCCCTTTCTATGGGTCTCCAAATCCGTCCATAGTTGTGGAGGATGACAGACAACTGACTACCACTTGAAGTAAATTGTGTTCCAGTGCCCCAAATGCTTGATTCCACAAAGGAGTGAAGACTTCTGGTTAGAGAATTCTGTGCAAACCCCAGACATGGAGGTACACACTGGAAGCATGATGCAAAGAATTGCAAATTTCTGAGACACAGGGGAAAAAAAATTAAATGAATAACATCACCTGGCAAAAAGGTCTTTGGATTACCCAGGAGGACCAGGTAGCTTCTCAATGGCAACAACTTCACTGGAAATCATGTAGGAAGAGCTGGTTTTCCTTCCATTGCTACAGAAAAAATGTAGATTTGCATGGTTCTTTGTCTTCTTTTTATCTATGTTCATATTTATCGCCAAACTCCTTTTTTTTCTCCTCCTTTAAGTTACTAGTTCAACTTCTTTATATCTTTTCACTTTCATACGGGGACACCGACTTTTATCCAAATTCTTATTTATTACCTAATCACATTTCTTTAAAATTTCCACTTTCCCAAATAATGCATATGCATGATTCAAGACTCTGCTAGGTGAAATCTGGGCTGTGGTATGAGGCACACAAACTGTTGCTCTCAAACAGGGTAATCAATTCATTACCAGCTACCGAAATTGTTCTTTTGTCTCTTTTTTCAAGAAAATCCACTATCAAAGGGAATCATCCATCTAAATGACCACTGTCTCTCTCTTCTCAGGAATCTATTTGAGGAGAGAGAGAAGAAAGAGACAGGCTCAATAGAGGAAGCAGAGATAGCAGATAAAGGAGGAGGAAGGTTTTTTGAAAAAGAAAGTACCTTTAATTCTCAGATTTCCTTTCCATTTCTCTCAGTCTTTCCTTTGGCTATGCAAATTATTTTTAATTTTTTTCTTGCAATTATATTCATCCAATAAATACCACTAATTGTTTTTCTCATGATGAGGACTTTCTAAGAACTCTCTTAAATACATTAATTTATTCCAATCAAAAGAATCTTCCTCAGGCCACTGCAGGACTGGAATAACATATGTATACCCATTCCAAATGTGGCAGAGAGCTATCAGCCAGTTAAGAAAAAGATCTTTCTAACTTCCCACACTCTCCCACCACCAAAGCTAATGGTGAGCATGATATAATTTGAGAGCCCAGGTTACCATGCTTAATAATAAACTTGTAAGATTGGGGAAGATGGTTTATCTGGCTAATATTCCACTAAAATTGGAGAATTTTCTTAATTAAGGTTCTCTTATATGACCAAAAGACCTTCAGGTAATCCACTTAATTGAAGAAGTGAGTGCTATTCTCTCCCACTGTCATCAAATTGTTTGGAAAATATAATTAAAAATAAAATCTGATAACTCAGTGAATCCTTTCCACCAAATATCAAAAGGAAAGAAATATTTTTATTATTGAATACATGCCTAAGGCATTTGACTGCTAACCAGAAGGCTGTTGGTTCAAACCTACCAGCCA